ATACCAGCCGCGAGAAAGTTGCACGTTTCGCTGTCTACTGCGAACGAACACGAAGAAGACGACGAAGACGACGATGACGACGACGATAATGATGATGATAATGACGATGGTGCACCTCCTTGACTCTTCCTGGGTTGAAGGCTCGTTTTTGTTTTCCAACCTGCGGACTATCCTGACCTATGACCAGAATCGTTTCTCCGCGTGAATATCCTATGTGTTAAATGCAAATAGACAATTTTGTCTATAATTAGTAATATATATTGCCCCATTTTTTATCATCCTTTCTCATCACTAAACCTTAACTTTTGCATTTCCATTTTATAAGATTAACGTAGCAACGAATTTAGATTTTCAAGGAACCGCGCTACTTATGGTACGACCTAATCCGAGGCAGAAGTTTTTGAAATACTACCGTTAGCTATAGATCCCTTATGTAAGATTTCAAGCCATAAAGAACCACTTTTTCTGTTCATAAACTAAAAAAAAGTTGTGCATCGTATTACATCGAAGAAACAGTAAAACAATAAATCCCGTGTAGAGCGGAAAATCAGGTTGGCGAAAATATCCTGTGCGAATTTCAAAGAAGAGGACTGCGAAGGAATACAACCTGATTCCTCGCAGAAACCAGTTGACTTTGAACCAGTGAAACGAGAATTGTTTGCGCTCGAGGTTTCAAAGCAGCAGGATCTGCCTTACACCAACACAATAGTTTCGATTGAAACGGTTTGACCGAGCAAACTCCGTGTCTACAAAAGCTTCTGAAACTACTCTATAGCACGACACAGAATTTTGAGTTTCAATAAGTCGATATAACCGCTAGTTAATGGGAAATAATGTAGCGCTGGAGGTAACAAGTTTTGCCAACATACGAAGTTCAAAAGAGGTCGAGAGATCATTAGAATTTCATAAAAGAGGATCAGTAGATGGAGAAACGAAGGACGCTTTAATATTACACGTCTCGTTATCTTCTCCTCCTTTGGTTTTTAACGCGCGAGTTCAATACGAATTCCTTTAATTTTATTTTAATCCCTTCACAGACGAATTTTGTTAAAATCGAAAAAAGATTATTCTCTATTTTTCTCAAAATAATGAGCTCACGCGTATATGACGATTGAGCGTTAAAATTGATTATTCGTAGTCGTTAATGATTCGGTACACTCAGAGATATTTTATCGCAATAATCTTCGTCGTATCTTTTCGAATCCGGTTCCCCCGTATCCCTCGAAAAGCTAAATTATATTTTATTTCGTTTGGTTTTTTGAAAAACTTTCGTTCCAATATTTATATTACACGTATTACGTGCAAAACTATATATTTTTATATAAAATTCTCGTACTTCTGAGTTACGTGACCCGCGCGGAATATGTTAAAGCGTAATATACCATCTACTGATGCAAATGTTTATTTGCAACTATTTCATCGGAGTTTATACCGAGCTGTCGCGATAAACTCATTCGAGTTGCGTTTAGTAGTTTCCAGCAGACATTTTAAGTTTCAGATATATGTTTGATGCTCGCTTACGTGCGATCTGTTGCTATACGAATATTTATGAGACTACGCGAATTCAAAGCGTATTCTCCGATTAGCGAACTTTTACGCGAAACTAAGATCATACTTTCCTGATAAACATATTCTGCAGCTGCAGTGAGTAACATAGCAATATCTCTAAAGAACATTATCTTAATTTTTTTTCCACCCATCCTATTTTGTACGATACTATAAATTTCCCTGTGAAGCACCTTCTTTGGTTCAGTTATGCTACTCACTCTACGTATCACGTTGCATTGAAAGTGAGAATATTACTCTCGACGGTAAAAGCGAGCGATTATATTGCTGTGACGATGAAGTTTACGCGGTCAACGAAACAACCTGAACCATCTGATACACTGTTCCCATTATCCAGTATTATGGATCGTTAAATCGAACCTATATCTTTCTACGAATCGTATGGAAGTTTCCCTGTCGGTCCATTAGACCGCCATTGTGACGATCTCGCAGCCATTTAATGGACTTTGACGCAAAAGAAAACTTTATCAACCCCATAGCGCTAAATATTCCGGACAGAAGAAAAGAACGAAGGTACATTTCGCGATAACGGCAGACTTCCAGTTCTTGTTAACAATCTTCCACGAGCAGACGTATCTACATAGAATGGTCGTTTCACTGCTGTGCAACCGGACTAAAGTTGTAGAATAAAACGAAACGTGGAAGCGAAATAAATTTCGTTATTTTATCCATAGTCAATTTTCTGTTTAGCTTCTTCGCAGCTCGGAATATTTTTAACATACTCTCATTGGTGATTGAATTTTTAGTCATTTTCTATATTATTTCTTCATAAGCAAAAAGGAACTATTATTAATTACAGACTTTGTTATTCTTGTTGTTAATAAAATAGACACCCGATTCGATGATTAATACTTGCGAGTAACTAGTATGTAACGTGTATTTAAACGTATTTTACATAGATAACGATAATTACAGTACGATGAGAATAAAAATTAACTACTTATAAAAATTAACTACTTAACTCTACTGCAAGCAATATTTTTAGTGATTGCTAGTCGCAGTATTCGATGAATTATAGATAATAGTATTATTCCAAAGAAGAATAAAAGAAAAGGTTGGAACAACGTCTCCCGACATAAGCGTCGCTTCAAAGAGTTCAGATAAAGAATATCTGATTACGAAATTGTCTGCGGTAAACAATTTACGAAAGTATATATAATCAAGGTGTTTTGTACAAGGAATCGATGAACCGTGACAAAATCGCATATTCCATGTAGAATGCATAGTAACACGTAGGCGTACTGAATTCAGGACGCAAAACGAGCGAGAAAAGTTCGCGTAAATATACGTTCTACTTTGTTACAGATCAAAGTTGCACGATGTGCTCGTTGTTTTTCGAAAACTATGCCTAAATAACACCTTTCTGTTTCGCGATCAGATAAAAGCTTCCAAGTATTTTATCGAAAGCTTTCTATCTATTCAGTTGGCCGAACATTGTTATCGAACATTATTAAATCAAATATTAGCGTTTATTAGTACACGAATTCCATTACACTAACTTAATTAATCGTTTCGAACTAAAATCCGAAAGTAGTTGTATTGATTCTTCAAGCGTATATTTTATTTTTCTACGAGTGTCTGAATATTTATGGACGATATAATCTATAATATAATATAATCTATAATAATCTATATTGTCTACATATTATATCAAAAAAAGGAAATTATCTTTTTTATAGCTGCAAGTCTTTCGTTTACAGTCAACAAATTTTATCGGACCAAGTCTATCTATGTATATTACTTGGAAGCCCTTTTTCCAAACTAGTATTATCCACACACATCGATACACCTATCGAAAGGAACACACTTTTCCTCGGCTGCCTGAAGCAATCACCCCTCTGTCGACCAATAGGTAACACACTTTTCCAATCCAAAAACCTTTTGCACACGACGTTCCCATCAATCCTACGATCCAATAGCTCTACCCTCTAAAAGCACGTGAAACGAGTTCTCAAGACTCTCGAGAGCTCCTCTAATTTCCACAAACTCATATCCAACGATCTAATCCCATACCCCGATGCACAATTTTCCCTAACAAGCGCAATGTGACTGAAAGATGCAATTCAGTCAAGACCGTACTCCATACTTATTGCAACCTATCGACATCTCCATCGTTTTCTTTCGATCGACAAACTGATCGACCAGCAAACAACGGACACATTTTACACACACGATCGGACCTTATTTCCATCGAGGTGTTTTCCATTCGACGAAGATCAGACGATCAGACGATCAGACGATATTGAACGAGATTTCAAAAATTTCTAGGCCTGATCACGTTCACCGAATACGAACCTTTGCGTAGCCAAATTAACCAACTGCATTTTTCGAATTGGTTTCTTTGACTAATATAATTATGACAGTAGTGTCTTATCAAAGCGCCAATGAAACTTCAAGATGTTTCACGCTATATGATATATCTACAAAATTTTTTTTTCGTGAGTATTGTGATCAGTATACCTCATAGAAAACCGAAAAAACATCACAAAATGCAAAATAAATCTTTTCAAGTGACATTTGTAATCCAGGCCTTCCACTACGTTTCAATTCATGGAGTTGATAACACGGTTCCTGGAAGGTTTCATATCTGTCCGCGATATCTCTGTATTATTATCTTCGGCGGTGGAAAAACGAAAAACGCGCCCGCATATTTCCCAGCAGCGACGCTGCGACGCCGTCGACGTCCACGGCGCGACGCCAAGGGAGACGCCTGGAGAACGGTCGCGGTGGGATCGTCGACACGCGGAGAGGCCACGCGAGCCAGGTTCTCACACGCGAGAGCCAGGTCGTCGCGTACGGTCACGGCATGCATACGTGAAAACGCGTGGAGGACCAACGAACGTATACACAACCAGACGATGCAGATCGAACGAGTCAAACGACGACGCGAGCGACGACATTAGTAAGTACACTAGCAACGTACACGAATAACGTACAGAAATAACGTTCACGAGTATGCACGAACGACATATACAATAAGTAACGTACAATAGCCGAGGAATGTATGTGATATATACGAGTACCGAACATGAAATGGACGAGAAGACGCGTTAGCTTGCAGCCTGCAGCGGAAACGAGCAAACGAAAATTCTCTTTCCGATAGCGTCTCGGAGCAAATTTGTTTTTTCGAGACTGTTGGACAACGCACTTTCCACCGATCAAAGGAACACGTCAGAGCTATTCGATTTGATCGATCAGCTGCCGATGATCCGTTTTATCATTTTACAATGCCGCAGTCAATGGTGCGTAAGAACGGAGAAAGTGCGCGACTAATGAGATAGAGATATCTCACGTGATCCTTTGTTTTATTCCCCAGCCGATCAGAGATCGAATCCGAATCCCGATCCGACGGCTAGATCACCTCTCGACGATTGCTGTCGAGCAAGCCTGAAAAACCACAGGCCACTACTCTCTCTCTCTTTCTCAGTTCACACCTTCTTCCTTGCAGATCCAATTCACGCGTCTCTTCTTCTCCCGTTTCTTCCTCGATATTCTCCACCGCCGGAAATTCCACCAGTTTACATCCTTCCGGAACGAAGACTCGATCACTGTCACCCAAAGAGGATCGATGACGCGGAGACACCGGAGGAGCGAGAATCACGAAGGTCGGCGAGTAGGGTGTCGCGAGTACCGCATCGACAATCTAGCACCACGTCGCCAACTTACTGGCTCTCTCTCGTCGAATCATCGCACGACCACGTTCAGAGATATAGCGCAACGAGGATCGACCCGATCACCAACGACGGACCAACGTTCACGACACCAATTGATAATCACGAGACGCAAAAATATACATCGGTAACTCGATAATCGCGATATTCAAAACGTAAAATTGAACGAAACGTTACATGTACCGTGAGGGCCAACTATTCTTCCGTTACGTGAACGCGTTCTCAACGCTCGAAACAGCACACGACTTTTCGCGCTGGACCACCCGGAGCCTCGCGTTCCTCTGATTCTCTTCGCCGTCCTCTCCCTCGTACTGTGTATACGCCGATAAACCACCCACCCCCTACCCTTACGGCACCCTCCTACCCCGCCAACCCTCTCTTCTCTTCAACCCTCTAGCCTAGTAGTAGTAGGATGCGGGGAGTTACTGGGGTGGGATCAATATGAGGTTGAGCGAACGCGGGAAATTCGCGCGCAGGTCCTTCTCCACCCTCCACTCTCCCCTCCCTCCACACGATACTACTCTCTCTTACCCCCTACTCTTGGCTAACCCCTCTGTCCCTCGTCTCTGTCCTCTGCCCGCACCCTCTGTCTATCCTTTTTTAACCGATGTAAAGAGAGTACCTCGTACTGACGTCTATCTCGTCTCGCTCTACCACAACCCTTCTACGTCCGTCTCTCACCGATTTTCCCGCTCCTTTTTCGTTGCCTCGTCGTCCCGACGTCTCCCGTTCGGCTCGTTTCTCGGCCAACCTTCGCGGCGGAGAGCCCACCCTTCGCCTCGAACCTTCCACCAGCTGCCCTGTTTCTATGCCTCACCTGATTGTACACGCATCTAGGTGTATACGGTGACCAGTCGAACGGGGCTGTACTAGATTCGACAGATTTGGCGGTGTATTAACAAACAGGTTCGTTTGGTACCGATCGGTATACGTTCTATTGTTTTCACCTTGTAGTTCTCACAGTTTCTAGGAATCGATCTTACAGTCTGCTTTCAATCGAGAACAGGAGTCTTCATGCTCGCAAAGAACAATCAACGTTGGATTGAAACTGCAAGTCGCAGAATTGTAAAAATTCTTTGGAAGGTAACCCAGGCAGCAGGATTAATTATTTGAACACTAATTGCTCGACCCTCGATAATAATTAAAAACGCAAACCAAAGTGAACGACGAGGTTCGGTTAGACGTTATAACATTTTCTAACGAGAGAGAATGCAGCTCCTAGGAAAAGTAGCCATATTTTAATAAAAGGACGAGAATGCTTGTTTCGAACCTTTTCTATGTTGTCCCTTGGTGGTGATTTTCTGGATTAGGATGTTAGGTCAGCTTTGACAGTTCGTTCTTTTCATAGGATTACATACATATGCCTGGATGGAGGTTTGTGAGATTCAGTTATAGATGACTGAGGGTCGTTCCTGTCTGATTTAAACGACTGACTTTGTAATCTTTAAACTGATCGATTTCCTGGGTGCAGAAACCTGCGTCAAAGATGATCTTTTTATGGCGACCTTTTAAGTTATTTTATTGCGAATGAATTCTACTTGTTGCTTGTTTATTACAGCGGAGTATCGTTTTGAAGGTATTCTAAAGGGCTTGGGTTTTGTGTAGGGCGTGAAAGGGTAAGGGTCTGAGACTCTGAGAGGTCACAGTACTCATTAACAAGAATAGAAAATTCTTAATGAATACGACTTCTAAAATTATACGTAATATTTCTGGTAGAAAATATAACTTTTTATCTCTTTGTGGATGCATTCGTCTATAAAAAGGAATGTAGGGAATGAATGAAATGTTTAAAAATACGATAATTTTCTCATGTCTTTTAATTGATGTTTAATAATCCTTTTAGAAAAGGATGTTTAATAAAAAGTTTTATATATTACTATACATTTTATTCAGAAGTAAAATTGATTTTAACTTTTATGTTCTCTATTTATTATTTATTCTGAATGAACGATATCGTGAAACAGCAATTTATCATGGAATTAAATAACTCGGAGGGATAATGTTTAACAAGAGAGACCACATTAAAATTCAAGAAATTAATATCCGCGATTCTGTTTGACTCTGATACCCGGCGATTTTTATGCAACGTTCCTTCACGATGCAAATGCGATTTCGAGGAAAAAGTGTCCGATTCCTATGCGTTGCTTCCGTCGTGAATTTCCGCGGCACGTTGTTAAATTTGCAAGAAACATGTACTACGTTGCCAACGGTGAACCCGTATAAAATTCCGTTTCTAAGCAACGAACTCGAAAATAATTAATTCTCCAGCCATGCTATTGTATGCGTTTCATATTTCCAGGGAATCGAGCTATTTCCAAAAAATAAACAATCTCCTATTCTAACTCTCTTCAAATTGAAAATAAAGTTATGCTACAATGAGAAAGTCGAAGATATACATTCGTGATACTGCAAAATAAAGAATAAAGTACGTATAATAGACTGAAAACGTAAAGGAAAAAATTAAAGATTAAATTACGAGAAGACTTTGAAGAGACATGCACGTGACATCTAGAAAACAAGAAGAAAGAATAAACTAGAAATAGATTAAAAATTAAATTACGAGAAGCATTCGAAGAGGCATACATCTGACGTTAAAAGAAGAGGATAAAACGAAAGATAAAAGATTGAAAATTGGATTGCATTAAAAGCAATTGCACGAGTGACGAGAAATAGACATGACGGAATTATAAAGAAGAAGAAAGTATTCGATTCAAAAGAAATGGTAAAACCGACTTGTAACTTCACATAGTCACATAACGTTCCCTGAACCAAATGATATTAATGTGAACTTTGGACTTCACGCAACGGCCCACCAACGAGTTCTTTTTTCTTCAAGCATCGCTGCAACCAGAGTCGATCGAGTGAAGTTGAATTGCGTTTACGCCATTACAACCCACGCCCCTCTGGTACGAGCCACAGTTCGAAAATACCCGTTAAACGTGAAAGGTAACGGTCAAATACCAACTTAAAGCATCGACTTGCAACTTACTTTTCGTATAATGTTTGAACAGCTTTCGCAGTTTGCAAAAAGCCTCTTGCTTCGCGCCGGCACGTTCCACGAATTAAATCGAGTTTCGCTGGAATTTCGTACACTTTCTTACATATCTCTCATTGATCCATTCCAATGGTAGAATTATTTGTCAAAAAATTAATTCTTTCCCCAATCCTGGATACTTTAACGTTTTTTCAATCTTTCCACGCTTGATCTAATTTTATAAAATTTATTATTTATCGATATGACGAGCTAAGCAATAGATTTGAAATAACAAAATCTCTCTATGATAAATAAATATTTTCCAATAATAATTTCCATATAATGAACAAATATTTCACGTAATATAATGGTTTCTCTCGAAGCTTGGCATGTTAACGGTTGAACGATCACTCGGCATAGTCGAGTTGGTTTTTTCCAAACTGGAAGGCTTTCTCCCGTCAAGTACTCTTCTCGAAGGATAAATGAGCCCTTCCGGACCGCGAACGATGCCGGCGACGCAGCGACGATGAGATTCGAGGCGGTGAATTGGAATCCGGCCAGAAGAACGCAAATTAATGACGTCATCTCTGTGGCCACCGCCATAACCGTCGTAATTATGATCGCAAACAGGAGTAGGCCGTGGCACGATCGAACCCCGTACGAATTCCACCGACCACCACCGATGAATTTACATGGTCCGATAGATTGTTACCAATTTAACAGGTAAACTATCGATAAACAGGTTGCGGAGAAACAATGTGCCGTCTCTCGCTACTGTTGCATGTTACCACGGTGAAAAAGAAGAACGTGAATTCAAACGATAGAAATTAAGAGACTGCGCGATCTTGTACAATTCGATGTCAACCGTTGTGTTGTATTCACAACATGTTTCATGTTACGAGTGTTATTATATCGGAGAAACGTTTAATCTTCTATTGCAATTTATTCGATGTTAATCCTTGCGTTCTATCGTGTTGTTTGGCGTTTAACAAATTTTGACGCACAAGTGTTCGGTGTTTGAAGTATTGGATAGCTAATACCTATAGCTATATAGTTTAATATACAATAATAATATAACAATAATTAATAGATATATAGTTTATACTCGGCTGTCAGGAAAGGAATGAAGTTTTCATCGGCTCTATCGATTGTCAAAAACATTATGCGCATCTGAAGGCAAACAGGATTGTTATGTTCGATTGTAGTTACGAAACATTCGGTTAATATCTCACTCTATTGTTCGTAAAACTATTTAGATCGAAATGGAAAAAAGAACGAAAAGGCTGCGGCTGAAGAAATAAACAATCCGTTATTCGATATACTCCGCGTTCCAAACCACAACTTCCTAGAAACAATAAAAAATTGTTGCTCTGTAATCAACATTTTTCCATCGGAGAAAATTAACCAAAGAATGATTACTTGCCAAAAATCTATCGTCGTTCTTAACCCACGTTACAATTTCCTTCTTTAACTGTCACCTTCAACCGAAGTGAACAATCGTACAATGATGTACGTATGGAAAGTCAGAGAGACACGTTGTATCCGCGAACCTAACTGGATAATAGCAGCGTTAATTAAGAACTCATTCGCGGGGTGCATCGAACGTCTATCAAAGGATACAACGCCCACCCTAAACGCACACCTACGCACAAATTCGCACATATATACGCACACACAATAGAATGGAGAATGCGAACCAGACGATACATGTAGCTCGCTACCCGAACCTACCACAATCTAGGGGATGAATCGAACTATCGTAGGAGAGATAGCAGCGTTTCCGGGCCAGATCATCCCGAAAATTGCGTCATTTAGGCTTCGTCTAAAATACATAATAAGCTAGGCCAGGCTTTCTCGACGAAACAGCAATTTCCTTTGTCCCACCGTCAAACGTAGACTCTACTTTGGAGGTATCCATCTGTCCTGGCGAAATGTCAGACGAAATGATCCATCTCAATATTAACAGGGAACAGCTGAACCGAGGGAGTATTATTCTTGGATGAATCGAAACGTCTAACAGGTAACCGTAATGATATTGAGCGATTTAGCGTGTTGTATTGTTGAAGTTTGACGGAGATAGCCGCCCTTTGATCGTTTATTACGAGTAATTTGTAGTGGCAGTAAATGCAAATTCCATTATGGTAGCTGTGTGCTACAATTTAGATATAGTTCCGGGCATAGAAATGTAGGTTGCGTGTATTTTGATTAATATTTATAATATTCCTTGACTTTAACGGTGTTAATTATTTACTGTGTTTAACATATCTGGTAACTAATATATTTAATTATTTGATAGAAAAAGTACGACAGACCGTCTAATGCGAATCGTGTATTTAATTTAAAATGTTAATCGATAATTGCTTTCGTATGATTTCGTATGTTTGTAATTTTTT